CAAACATTCTGTGATCCTGTGTGGCACTGTGAAAGGGGATGTGGAAGTCCGTTCCTCATGCTGCTCCCTTCCTTCTTGCTGCAACTCTGTCCCTAACTCCTCTCACATATTTCTAAATCTGTAATTTTAATCATAAATACATACTCTGATGGATTTTATGGCAAAGAGCTAGACTGAGAAGATAATGAAAGGAAAAAATGATGCAAGAACTTGGTGAAGTGCACAGAGGCATACAAATATAAGTCCACTTTAGAGTCTTTAGAGTCAGTTCCAGAGTACTAGTTGACTCTTCTTGCTTGCTGGCTTTTCACACGTACAAATAAGAACAGTCAGAAACCAAGGAAACTCAGTAAGTGCAAAGAGTCAACTCTTCCTCTACAAAATGCTTAAAGTAGAATGAGAGTAGAACAGGTGGATCCAAAATGAAGCTTTGCAGTATGGCAGATTCAAATTTTACTCACTGTAAAGCCTTACTAGAAGCCATTCAAAACATAAGAACAAAGATGCCCAATACAGAACAGCAATAATTTTTCCATAAGTTAATTCTTGACCAACTTATGAAACATGTAAGTGGCTCATGCAATCTTGGTTTCAGAGTCACCACAAGTCATTCGTGATTGCTGGCCTCCTGAATTTTCTCTTGGTGTTCCTCAAGATTATGGAGAACATTTTGTATTTCCTACAGCGTCTTCCACCCTTCTGACAAGAATAACAGGTCATACTGTGGTGTATCATCCGAAGACCTCTCAGGACATGAGAAGAAAACTGAGTAAACCAGAAAGGCTGTAGACAGAAGGAAAAAAAGATCTACATGACTAAATGTTCCTACTTCTTAAATCACAGTTGGTGTGTATCGTGTAGTTGTTAACAAAACTAGTTATTCCACAAGAGCTTTCTGCTCTCCTTGTATGCTTCCAGCATAGCCATACATTTTTCCTAGATGAGATCCATTTATCTAGGCATGACTGAGAGCCTTGGCTATCTTCTCAGTATTAAATCACTTTCCACAGCGTGTACAGATGCCTTATGGTCCACATTTAGCCTCCTATTCGAAGATTTGCTTCTGTCCCACAAACTGCTCAGAAATTACTTGTACACATCCAGGGCAGTCAATGCATTTCTGGTAGCTAAAGGAGGCACTGCAATTTCAGGTATGGAACCTTCAGGATTTTTTTTTCATTACTTTCTTTCCACTTTTCTTCCCCCCGCTTTCTGTTATTTCAAACAGACACTCACAGCAGATGCTTCGTGCTTTCAGCCTGCCATGCGTCTGCTGTCCCATCAGCAGCTGCTCCTCTGGCACTCACACACAGCATACGGGAAAGCATGCTTGCTCCTCTAACACCTCCCATAAAGCTTCAACAACTTTAACACGGAATCCAGCATCTCCAGGGAGCTTTAAAGCAGCTGCCCACGGCTTTTTTCAGCGTTGCTCTCCCAGACATTGCCTTGCTTGAGTTTATCAGTGTGGTATTTCTATCAGCACAGTTCCTCTTTAGGACTAAAAGCAAACATGCATCTTTTCCCCTTTTCACTCCTGCCTGAATTTAAAGGGAAAAACGATGATTTTACAGTAGGTAGCCCCAAACAGCACCATTACTCTGCTTACACTGGCCTGTTGCCACCAGGCCTAACGCTGCTCGCTTAAGGGAAATGCCTGGGACTGCACCGCAAAACAGGCTGCAGGCCTTTCAAAGCTGCTCTCACCACGACCAAGGTGAGGCACCTCGGGCTACTCCTACACGCAGGTAAGCAACACGACAGCTCAGCTGCACACAACTGCATTAAAAGCACAAAAATAGAGATTTATGTAAGGCAGCACTAAAGTCAGCTGCGCTCCTCCAGGAGGGAGGCACTCGGCGCTCGCCAGCCTGAGCACTGCAGGCTTTGCTGCTAATAGGATCATTCCCTTCTAAATCCTTTCCCACGGCAGCAGCCCAGGAACACGCACAGCTAACTTAGGCTGAAAGGGAATTTTCCACCACCCACAAGCCTCTTTCTACCTTGCATAAATCTTCTCAGGCGCAGGCCACAAAGAAACCGCGCTAGCTTCTGCAGATGACATATAACAAGCGATTAGCCATGATAAATCTTCAGGGCCCAACTCCTGTGTCAAGTTTCTTTTACACTCTCACATTTAGAATAAGCGCACGTTGAATTTACTCCTCCTTCCGGGGCCCTCTGTGTTGCTGTAATAATAGGATGGGGGCTTAGTGTAAATCATGATAAGGCCATTAAGCGGAAAGATCATTCACCCTCTCCCTGTCAATTAAGGGATATCAGATACAGGCAGATACACTGAGGAGCATCCTTTTTCATCTGAGAACATAAGCTTAAGCAATCTCTATATAAACACTCTTTTCTCAGCAAACTTTCTGGAGCACAGATAAGATGAAAGGTGGCTTTCCCAGCTAACAAAGTTATTAACACCTCAACGGAAAAAAGTAACATAACGCAAAAGCCACAGCTGTCTGATGGCTTCCTTGATCTGAGGACAGCGACAAGCAGCAGCAGCAGGGGGCTGTTACCCTCAGTACAAACAGGCCAGCATCTAAGCACAAATAGGAAAACAACATGCTTACCTGTGAAAAAAATAGGTACTTCCAGGCCACTTTTGAATTGCTACTTTTTTTAAGGAACAGTTCCCAAAATAAAAAATTGCACACATATTTTTAACTACAGAAAAACATCTTCGTGACACATGATCAGAAAGCACACTTGTGATAAAAGCATTGTGAGCTGAAGTTAAAAGAAAAGGGGACAGGCGTTGCCCTTAAAGTTGGTTCACAAGCAAGTGAATTTTGGATCCATTTTCACCACAAGAAAAGAAAGCAAAAAAAACCCCAAACTACCCCAGACCTCAAAAAGAAAACCCCATCAGCTGATCTCTAGCAATGTCCTTAATATTATATGGAATGTGAAGATAAAAGACCCATGGAGCACATTTTAATTAATGATTTTTGTCTTTGTTAGCTGAGATCAGAGGTCAGACTGGGAGCATTAGGCAAGAGAAGCCATGAGAAACAAGGAGCTCCATGAGTAGAAGCAGTAAAACTCAAGTTTCCTGCCTGTAATTTCCCTAAAGCTAACACGGAGCATGGACTCCCTGATGTACGAAGAATACTTCTTACTTTCAATAAAATTCCTGCAACTCACTACCCCTAAGAGCTTGACTTTCCTCTGTAAAGTGTGGTTAAAATAGGCCAGAGAATTCAAAAGCTGCCAAGAGGAGACAATAAGAAGAAACAGACATGGATGAAATATGGATGTGAGCTTGTTTTCTGAAGAAAAGACACGTAACAATCTTGGCCAGCAGTTCCCAAAATACAACATAAATATCACCTGTAGTTTGAAAGCAGTACGAAGCTGACATCTGAACAGCCAAACGACGTTCATGCATGCCACCAGGACTAAATTTGTAAAAGCCTTGCATAGAGTACAATTAAACTAAACCAAAACACAAACACGTAACTCCTCATAACTAGTGGAGGCAAGAGCCTTCTAACCTGACACAGTGTGCTCTGGCCATGCTGCCTACACCAGAGCGATGTAAAGAGAACCTCACCATCCCTCACCAAGGGCTTTTGCATTATCCAAGCTTCTGCAAGAGTCATGCCAAAACCACACTGCCATTACTTCAGCCACGTGAGGAAAAAAAAACACATTTCAAGAAAGAAAATATAGCTCAGGAAGGTATCACTGAAAGGAGACACTTTGTGTTTGAATGGAAGAAATGGTGACGAGTGTTCCAGTCCCAGGCTGAAAAGCACAGGAGCAGGGAGCTGGGAAAACAGTACACACCTTGACACATTAAATAATTTACTAAGAAAAATACAAACATTCGTTGGTGTTCTGTGTGATCAGTAGCTTATGCTTTCAGAGGAAAACAATTCTACTTTATCTTTATTAGAATTAAACTTTAAGGCCTGAATTTACTATACATTATTCATTGTTACATTTTAGATTGGCGGAGAGGTAATCAATCAGGTCATTAGCTCCAAAATGCGTTTAACAGTACCTTTTGCTAATTTTCCATATTAAGAAAACCACAGAAAAACCTGGAGCTGTTAACATCTTTTTATTGTTGGTTAAGAATTAAAAAGCTAGGGCACTGTAATTGTTGTTTTTGGAAAAAAAAAAAGAAGGTAAAAAAAAAAAAATCGCACCTTCCAGCTTTGTCACCCTGGAATATTTTCCTGCTAACGATGCTCCATTAAAAGTTCTCCCTTATTACAATTAGTCTGTTGAGATCATTCTAAAATAATTTCCAGCTACAACGGGGCTTCCTTTTTGCAGGTAGCAACATATGTCAGCTTGGCACAGCTTTCCTTGTTCACGAGCGCAAGACACTTCCTCGTGTTGATAAAGGAAGCTGTCAAAAACATACCGTGGCTGGGTTTGCAATCAGATTCCATAGCACTGGCCAGGGGTAGCATCCCTAGCCAGCAACATTACGCTGAGCTGAAAATTAACCTTTCGGGACTGAGATTTAAGAAATACAGTTCACGTGCTCGCTGTGTCAGAGCAATTCCTGTATTTCACACACGTGGTCTCTCTCTCGCTCTCTCTGCCCTGGCCTGCGGACCGAGGTGGCAACACGCTGACTTTTATTGCTAGTGAACTCAAGCAAGGGGCTGCTCTTTATGAGATACAATGCAAGAACAGGCAAATATGATGGCTGCATCCATTCAGCTGTGGTTTTTTAATGTGTAAAACGCGTACACAAAGTTGAGTGATGTTCAAACTCCTGGCAAGTAGATAACTCACTCCATTAATAACACAAGCATTGCGCATTTTTGAGTCAGGACGCCGCAGCAGTGAATTACTGAGAAAAACAGGGATTCATCCTGTCTGCTTTAACAGAGGGAGATGAATTTCAGAGGGGGTTAATTTTTCTGTTCTCTAAGGTACTGAACATTGAGCAAAGCTAGATATGAGAAACGGGTAGATCGTTAATCCAAGTAACTCTAGCAGCTCTGGTGTATGACATCCTCTTTTCATGGCTTCTTTATTAACTGTTAGAAGACAAAACAAGTTAAGTTGTGTGAGAGCATCGTGTGATTTCTAAATGTGCTCCCGGTAATACAACTAATACTTTATTTTAATTTAATTTTCCTTAAAGTTTCCCTAGCAGTTTCATATTTCTATGCTCCATATTTGCATCTCGTGCTCTCAAATAACTTGCATAGCCAGGAGTTAAATAATACCTTGAAAATCAAAAGTAGAATTATGAGGCTCAATAGATCAGTAGTAAGTACAGTAAACACTTGACAAAAATACAAAGACAACTGGGCTCTGGAACCAGTCCCTTTTTTAACACCTCTAAAGCATCTGTCTAATTAGGTTCATTTTGTGACAAACAAGAATGGGATTAGATCAGCATTACCGTTGTTATAGCGGCCACATGACAGATCTAGATGATTTTATTTGTCAAGCATTTAATCAATTTTTAGTCCTGTCCTGCCCTCTCATTTTCAAAGCTCATGGGAGAATACATGCCTTTCTCATAAGCATGAATCACCAAGTTCACGCACGTGTCAGAGTCAACCTACAGTGAAATCGCCATCTTTATAAATAGTTCAATAGATTTAAAAAAAGGCATTCTCTCTGGGAGAAGGGCAAGATCACAGCCCATTCGTTCTCCTTTTTCCTGGAGGGAAGAGGGGAGAAGTGGAATTCTGTATTACAGATAACAGAGACTTCATTCCTAACAGATTGCCATGTCAGATATTGAAAACATGTTCAGTCAACAACAACTATAAGCCCCTACTTGTTCATGTGACGAATATTTCACTGAAAAATGGAGTGACATCAAAAAGCTAGAAAATAAACGGTTGTTCTCAGCTCTGTTGGTGTTGCAGCTGGTATTCACGCAGGTTTCGATTAATCCATGAGACACTTCTTCAGAGCTTACCCTAGAGGTGTCATTTAAGCAAGAAATCTGGCTCCCGATAACCAAAGAGTTTAAAATCGCCTTCAAACCGCGCATAGAGGCGTCTTATGTCTCTCTTGCTAATGCCTGAAAAATACCGCTCTACTTTCGTTTTGTTGTACACCGTTATGCCTGGTGGAATCGTGGGGTATGATACCAGATGGTCTATGCCGGCTGCTTTCAAGATAAATGGAGCATCCTCCTCCAGGGTTTCGTGGTGCCCGATCACGCTATAGGTGATTTCACAGGGGGCGCAAAGTTCCACATACGTGACCCAATGAATGATGTGGTCACCAAACTGAACATCCAGCCATCGGTGATTGGGGTCACCCAGATAGCGCACAAAATCCTCAAACTGCAGCCCTTTGGTCTCCGTGCGATTCTTTCTGTATTTACGAATTATGCCGGGAGCAATCTCGTGCCGGTACCAAGGTTCAAATCGAGGATTGTGCACAAACTTGTCCTTAAATGCAGAAATGAGTCTTTCAAACGGGTCTCTAACAATAAAAAACTTGAAGTATAAATTCAGTCTAAACAGAGGAAGGGAAAAAAGTAAGAAGCGAATTAATGAAAGTGTTTAGCAAAGTGTTTAAAGTTTGTTTAGCAAAAATGAAATAAAAACTTAAGAAACAAACTGACTGCAGACGCAGCAATATGAATCTTACACTATTGTCACCGTCTATCAATATTATAACCAATAGGACTGGAAACAGAATTTCTATCTTTTTACAATCAGTTTTTGTATACAGCGCAAAGTGGATATAGTTCTTCCTAGTTTTCACATTTTATTCCAACTGGAGGAGCTTAGTTTATCTCAATTCATATAACTAGGAGATGAAAGATGCTGAAAAGATGCTGAAAGCTCTAAGTCAAAGGTATTTTTAACGCCATGTGATTAAGCTCAAGATGCAACATACACAAAGACATGGAAAAGGTGGCTTGGTGCAGGTAAATGCACAGAGGGCATTTTTTACTGGCAGGTGGTTAGACAAATCACTGCTTAAATAAAAAAAAAAAACACCACAAAATTTAGGTATTTTATCTGATGATTTGTCATGCTTTCAGTAATGGCCGAGAACATTATTTTCACGAAACCACGGCTTTCAACAGAATTTCACATTTTGTTGTAATACAACTGAGATGCAATATTTTGTAGTCAGAGATTATTTGTAGCAGTAAATTGAGAACAAAGTTTATTTCAGTAAACAGCTGAGAAAGGAGATCTAGAGCCCAGTCCTCATTGAAGTGACTGGATGGACTGTTTCCAGCTCCAACAGGCGCTTGGACCAATCTTCAGATTCTCCTGACTTACTCCTAACCAGGTAGGTCAGCAAACTAGACCTCTCTCTCTACACCTGAGCTCTCTAATATTTTATTTCAGAGTTCCCAACAGAACTCACGCTATGCATCTCCAGCACAAATTCTGTGATAGGCTAACTGCAACAGCCCAAACCACAATGGTGTTCAATTTCAAATACTCTGGGTATGGCTCATCCCCCAGGTGAACAGTTACTCTCTATGCAGGGCTATTCACAGGGAGGGGAAAAACAGATCCATGGTCTCAAGAACATGGTGACAGTATTTTATCTTGCACACTATCAACACAACCAAGTGACTGTGTTTCCACAGGCACAGCAGCAATAAACGTATTTGTACCACAACAAACCTTGGGCTGAGCTCTGCTCATAGCTGTCACCATGTGAGTAAGGGGTTGATTCTTCGGAATGGCTTAACACACATAAAAACCACGCAAGCACAAGCTTACAAGTGTCCACTGTCATCTTATGTCCTGTTGTCTCCATGCTGCACTCCTTACAGGCATTATATGTGGCACAGGCTCTCAAAGAGGTAAGAGCATACACAGTCGAAAATCTAGCCAAAGTAATTTAGAAGGTTCTACTGCTGAGAAGTATCTTTTCTGCTCTGAGAACCAGAAGCATCAAAACAGGAAGATAAAGTGGTTTAGCTGAATGGACAGGCTGAGGAGCACTAACATTTTAAACCTAGCTAGTCCAAATGGAGTGAGTAAATCTGCCTGCAATCACAATGTTAAGCACAGGCACTGAGATTTACTTACAAGGCATCAGGCTGGACCTTTCAACCAAACCTTCCCTTCTGAAGGTCAGTTATGGATTGACTACAGAAACTCTACATGCAGAGGGAGGTGGGTGGCTCACCTAACCTAATTACCAATTACACTGGTGTCCTCCTTCAGAGCCCGTAGGTAGGTAGTCACAGCAACATCTGCGAGGGTAACAGCATGGTGCCACAATACAAGTGATGGAGCAAAAACACCATTGTCCTAAATTCCAGATGTAGACCCCAACTGTATTCTTGACTGCTCGTAACACCACTGACTCCAAACCCCTCCCACCGTCCTGGGAAGCCACCTCTTACCGCTTTTTAATTTCAGAGTCACTGAAGGAGGACAAGCGTGGAAGCCCATTTTTCTCATGATCATGTACAATATTTTCTGGGATCTCTTCTATGGAGGAAAATGCTCCTATATAAATCAAAAAGAGAGACCAAGTGAATTTTCCAAGAGGGGAAAAAAAGTGAGCACAATAAACCATGTGTGCCTTTGGCTGACAGCTTTTTATCTTTCTCTTTTCTGTATTTTTAGCATTTGTGGTTACTATGTTTAAAACTGTTAAATGATGAGAGATTCTGACTGTGAAGCTGAAAACCAGTAAAATTCTTTAGGATATGTGACATCAAGGTCCCAGACCAAATGGCCTCAAAACTGTCAGAAAAGCACATTATGTAAATTTCAGCAGCAATTATGTCTAAGCCTATAACTTCCCACCTCAGTGTCCCCATTCCACACGCACAAACAGAGGAAGACTTTTGAGGATTAACTCCAAAAAAGGAACCAGCTTTTTGGCTGAGTTTCTACCACCAACAAAAAATAAATGCTGTGGGCTGCTTTTGGAAGTGCTTCAACAGAAAAGCACTTTGCTGTCAGGATCCATGAAGTTCTTTTCATGACTGTGCTGTGCTGAGACAAAAATTCCAATCATACAATACGACACAGATTAAAAAGCACTAAAATTAACAATAGAAAGCCTCCAGATACTCATTTCACATAAGCTGACATGAAAAAGAACATCACTGAATTCTGATGCATTTATTTTAAAATCCTGATCCTAGAAGTTTTTATGACCTTGAGAAAGTGGGCCCCTTGGGCTTTAGCAGTAAGCCTTCACACAACATCATTTCAGAGTACCAACCTGCAGCAAGAACAGGGGGATATACAAAAGAAGCTCTTTAGGTGAAAGCCTCTACAGCCTTCCAAAACTGCACTGAATAATCCATACAACTCAGCTTCTATTTTTTTCTTTTTTTTTTCTATTTTGTTTTTTGGTGATGGTATATTTTGTTATTTTCTAATAATCTACTTTAACACTCTGAGTCAATTACATGTGAACAGCAGACGTCAGATTTCTACAAGCTGACAGAAACTGAAACCTTGCATTCATCCAGAGCAGAGATTCAGTATGAGCGGTAGCAGAGTTAGCTTCCCCACAGCTCCACAACTGCATTTTTTGATCCTGAATCTCCAAATACCTCTTAGGTATTTTGATGTAGGTATTCCCCCTCAAGTACCAGTCCTGCCTGCTGAAGCTACCCAAGTTGGAGAGTTAGGGCAACTGCAGCAGTAGTCTTCAGCAGCAGATACTAGTATACTGGCAGCTTGAGGCAGAAGAGACCAGTGTTCATGCAGATCCAATTTTTTATCATTATCCAATATACCAGCACTTGGTAGCTCAAGAGGAAAGGTTCCTTCCTGGTAAGACAAGAGTTATCCTCCACTCAACGCAGCCAAAACATCTCCGCCTGTCCCGAGCTATTCTTCACATGTTATCTCTTAAATTCTGGTAACAGTAAGTACTTCTAATGCACTCGATACTTTCTTTATATAAATTAGTGCTACCCCTCTTAAGATAACTGAACTACCTACCACACGCACATGGGTACTCTTTTATGACTCAAATCACATTTGAGCCAGGTAATAACAAGGTAATAACAATATTTTCTTTAAAAGAGATGTTTTGAAAGGACCAGAAGCAACTGTAAAGAACAAAAAGCTGAAATTAAGTAGCAGTGTACAGAAAAGCAGAAAGAATCCATTTTTGTGTTGTCCCAATTCTGTTCTTTCCTCCTCCTCAAAGAAACCCACACACCCACAGCAGAGTAGATACCATTTAAAACGATCAAGACTTTTTTCCACTGAGTGTTGCCCACTTTTGGCGTCTGACAAAACAGGATCTTGTGCTTGTCACACACAAATATTCGGTCCAAGACGAATTTGGAAACTGCAGTGTGAGAGAGATTTCTCAATGCAGTGTCTCTGCAGACATTCCTGAGAAGCTCAAGTCTTTCCATATGAACCAGGGGCTGGTGGATCGGATTTCCAGAAAAAGCCTTTCCAGTTGTCTTTATGAAACACAGAGGGGAAAGAAAAAACAAAAGTGCAAGGATTTAGTTTTCAGATAAAATTCTAAAGTATAAAAATCCCCAAATTGTGCATCCTAGTGGCTCCCAGAATCACAATTAAGAGATTGCTATGTATTAACTAAAGGAGTAGCACACAGCCATCTTCCTGTGCTGCTGCTGTACACGTTGGTTTGACTCTTAAGTCATTATGTAGTAGTAGACAGTAGTAAAAGCTTTTCCATATAACAATCTAAGTCCACTGCAGAGCAGCAGGGTCTTATCTATGTGAATAAAATACTACTTGACCAAACACTGGAACTCTCACAAGGCTTGAACAGCCACTAAGAAAGCTTCTGCGGGGTTGGGACAGGTATTTCAAGAGAAATTCAGCTTTAATATCTCAGGAGATGGGGCTCAGGGATGTTGGCCCATCTGACTGGGAAAGAAGAATTTAGGATTGTTTTGTAGTGCTTGTAGGCACTCAGCGCTTCCATCTATCCAAGCTGTAACAAAATTAGGTGGACAAAAATTCACATAATGAACATCAGCTTTTCCTGTGGCAAGTAAGAGAAATAAGCAGGATTCATCTCCCCAAAAATGGATTAACTGTTTGACAAACCTTTTTTTCTGAGACTAAGACAAAAACCACAACCATGTCTGCTTCACGATTAGTGGGGAAAGAGGAAAAAAGGAGCTTGTTCAATTAACAGGTGATGGGAAATTTTAAACTTCTACTGACAAACCTTCTCCGTTCCACTAACCGATTTATGTAGCTGGCAATCCCCAATATCAGTACAGACTAAGGGATGTACTGACTGAGAGCAGTCCTGCAGAGGACTTGGGAGTACTGATGAATGAAAAGCTGGACTTGATCCAGCAATGTGTGCTCACAGCCCAGAAGGCCAATCACATCCTGGGCTGCATCAAAAGCAGCGTGGCCAGCAGGTCAAGAGGGGATTCTGCCCCTCTGCTCTGCTCTGGTCACACCTCACCTGTAGTACTGTGTCCAGCTCTGGGGCCCTCAACACAAGAAGGATGTGGACCTGTTGGAGCAGGTCCAGAAGAGGACACAAAAACAGTCAGAGGGACGGAGGACCTCTCCTATGAAGAAAGGCTGAGAGAATTGGAGTTGTTCAGCCTGGAGAAAAGAAGGTTCCAGGGTGACCTTATTGCAGCCTTCCTATACTTAAATGGGGCTTATAAGAAAGACAGAGAGAGACTTCGTATCACGGCATGTAGTGACAGGACAAGGGGCAACAGTTTCAGACTAAGAGAGAGTAGATTTACCTTAAATATTAGGAAAAAATTATTTTCTGTGAGGGTAGTGAGGCACTGGCACAGGTTGCCCAGAGAAGCTGTGGCTGTCCCCTCCCTGGAAGTGTTCAAGGCCAGGCTGGATGGGGCTTGGAGCAACCTGGTCTGGTGGGACTGTGATTCTAGGCACAGTGACCAAGCTACACACAAAAAAGGTATGATTTTACTTCTTCTCCAAATCCTTCATGATGAAAAAAATCTCACTCTACTTTTTTTGTTTGCTACTCTTCTCCAGTATCCCCTGATCAGAATCTGAACAGCCTGACAGATTGTTTATCTGTCAAAACAATTCCTTTTGCATGCAACCAAGACTAACGTTATTGTTCTGCACTTCATGCTATCAGGAATTCAAGAGGGAATAGTTTTAGATCCAGAAACCTTATTATCCTCTTCCATACAAGTAAAGGGAGATATTAAAACTCACGAAACAGACCTGCTTGCCTTCCACCAAAGTGTTTCTCCCAAGTACTTTGAGGATAACTTAAGTTTCTTGGTTTTTTTTTAACATACAAACCCAAAGGGTTATGTTTATACAGAAACCTATTTTCCATGCTGCATCACAGAAATACTCTCAACATGACTTATGTAACCAATGGGGAAAAAGAAGGCCATAGCCTACTGTGCAACTAGTCTCAAATTTACATCTGCATAAAGGACTTTCAGAGTTGCCTTGTAAATTAGCAAGCGCTGCATTTGTCCTGCCTTAGTGCTGAAAGCACAGAACTATGCATCTGAAGGATCAACTGGTACTGAATACCATTGTGTTCATGTTCTACTTTGGAAAAACGCCGAGAAGCACAAAGAGCACAAAAACATGGAAAACAAATGAAGGCCGAGAAAAAGAATCAGAGAGACTGACTGGTACTGAATACCATTGTGTTCATGTTCTACTTTGGAAAAACGCCGAGAAGCACAAAGAGCACAAAACAAATGAAGGCCGAGAAAAAGAATCGGAGAGACTGGGCAGAGAACTAAGAGAATAGACAAGACACGGGTTTCCTCTCAAGAACCACAAACCTGATGGCTACAGCAAGGCAGAACACAAGTAATCCAAAAGTGGGCCATTGCATTAAAAAGGCTAGCAAAAATTATTGTCCTGACTTGATAAAGGAATACTGTAACGATTTGCTCCTTGAAATGGAAACATATGAAGTTGAATGACTCAGATGAAACAAGACAGCAGGTTACTGCAACTAGCTTTGTGAAGCTAAAATGAACTCTGTTGGCTCTACCTAAATAGAACAGCCTGAATAAATAATTCCTGTCTAGCAATTCCTTTTAACAACAGGAAGCCCCTACTTAATATCTTATTTTGCCCCACTCTTTAATACACGTAACCCTTAACTCAGTAGTATGCACCTGGAATTCTTTGGGCCAATGCTTTTCTTCTGGCACGTGTACCTCCTCCACTTTTGTCACAGCTGTCAGTACCAATGGCTCCTGCTTGGCACCATAGCCTAACGAAGGAAGAGAGATAACAGCATTACAGAAGGTGGGGGGAAGGCAACTATTTCTGCTTTATAACTAACACAACTGAACGTTAGTTTCAGTATGAAGCTTACAAACCATTAGGAATCGTCTCCATGTGGGCAAGTACGAGACAGGACATGGGACAGACTATGAATATTTTAAAGGATGTAGTCCATGGGAATTTTGGATGCAACTTCAGTTGAGTTTTATCAAAGAAACATGGCCAGTATCTTTTATTTTGGTCTTTTTCAAACTGTGCAGAGAGACACGGAAATTATAAATCCAAATATCACGACTGGCAGACAATTGAGCATTATTATATGAACTTGAGAGTAGGAGATAAACTTCCCAAAGCATGTAGAAATAAAAAACTTCACCTGTCAGGTTTCTCCCTCCTCTCATATTAGTAGATAGGTTTCTCCTGTTGTAAACTTTTAGACCTTACCAAAAGAAGTGTGTCATTAAGGATCACCTTTTATTTCTTTGGTGCTCTAAGTGAACATGTCTAACCAGCAATAAATACAAGATCCCCCCTTTTTTACTAGACCAACGGCCTTCCTTAGAGACTCCCACAAGGAAAGAAAAGCTGATACTCTTGTTCTTTTTTAATGACTTTAGGGCAGCTAATAGTTAGAGATCAGATTAAAGTATGTAAGGGAAGAACACTTTGCACCATTTGCAATTGTTATGCTGCAGGTCAACTGAAAAATAACACAAGGTGGTAGCTTTACATGGTGCAGAAAGATCAAAAATTAGTAGCAGATTTCCCTAACAATAAAGCAAAAAGGACACGATTCCTCCCTGAAAATTTATTTCACTACACACTGGACTACTCCTTTCATGTAGTTTCCTCTATGAATAATCTCTCTTTGCATTCATAGTGGCTTACTGTTTTACAGTCAAGAAAATATGTGCACTGTCGATGTCCTTTATTTAAAGGAGTACTCTGCCTACACTGCATTTTAACAGAGGGCAACACACAGAAAAGCAAATTAAAGCTGAAAACAACGTAAGCCTCCAAGCCATCAATTACAGTAAATATTGTTGCGCACAGACTTACTTCACAGTATCCTTTTGTAAAATCAAAGCAATCTGGCTCAGTGGAAGAGCAGTTAAAGTATCTTTCATTATTACTGAGTAAAACCATGGCTGCAGATGCTACTAGAGATAATGGACAGAAACTTGCTCCTTCTCTTCAAGAAGTTCCTGTTGCTCAAGCATCCAAGACATCATTAAAAGGCTTTACAAGAGAACATTGATTCATTGAGCATCTGCTGTTTTGGTTCTAGCTGCTAAGTAGACACATCCAAACAAGAAAAATTTCTGACAAGCCATATTTTATTAAGTCTAGAAGAGTGCCTCCAGGATTTGCCATCCTGTTCAGACTTTCTCCAAAGTTCTGACCGTACATTCAAATTATGCCGCTTCATCAATCCCAGTGCAAACACCAGCTTCCCCAAAACATACATACACCTGAACACAGTCATGCCTTTGCAGGACTGGAGATTAAAGAATTCATACAATCTTCTGCTCAAAAATTTTTAAAAAGGAAGGAAGATTCAGCATAGACAAAAAAAAATAAATTGGTGAGTCAAGTTAATAAAAAGCAAGTAAACCCAAATAATGTACTCCAATATTTTTTTTTAAATCTACATTTTAATCCTCCTGACAAATTCTGATGGAAAAAAACACTCAAAAGTAAACCTGAGCTGGGAAACAAGAGTTGGCATAGAATGAAATAGTGGAAGATTTAACTCCCTAACATAAGACCAGCTTATTTGCAGCTGTATTAGTGCTCAAAAACAGCTGGGACCAAGGAAAGCTATGTTAGCCTTCAGATCTCATCTCTATAGACTTGCTGAATAAATCTCCACACAGAGTTATGCTATTTGAAAATGTACACACTACCAAGTCACTGAAACAAATGGCACAGTGATGTCAGCCCTTCAGAAGTTACTCACTTTTTGCATATCTTAAGACACAGAAATACGGATCTCTTGGAACTGTAAGTCATGTCATCACTTCCACCCTAAACTTCCCGTAGGACGGCTTTGGAACAGCAGCAACTCAGCAGACAGAAAACTGTAACGTGCTGTGTGGTGTCATCAAATGGCTTAAATTCCCCATCAGCTTAATACCATCTGGGCTACTTAAGCTAAGCAAAAGCCTATAAGCTGTTTGTCAGTCAAACAGCAGAGGATAAAACTGAACGCAAGAAGCAGGGCAGAGGTGGCTAGGCTAAGTGTACCACAGATGACATGAAACTTTCCCTAAGTTTTATATAATGCTGCAGTCACAGGATGGGGAGTCACAAGAGGGCAGAAACCGGTATCATGTGACAGAACTCTAATTCCTTGTGAATCTGTCTTTAAACAGGCAAATGTGCTCTGTTATTGTGCATTTGACTTCTACTCCTAGTAGATCAAGATACTGAAACAGTGTATTTAAGAAATAGACTTCAGAAGACAAGACTGCCAAACATGATCCCTTTGGTGATTTGCTCTTAATCACCAAAAAAAAAAATTCCTTGTGAATCTGTCTTTAAACAGGCAAATGTGCTCTGTTATTGTGCATTTGACTTCTACTCCTAGTAGATCAAGATACTGAAACAGTGTATTTAAGAAATAGACTTCAGAAGACAAGACTGCTAAACATGATCCCCTCTACTCTTAATCACCAAAAAAAAAAGAAAATAAATGACATAATGTTAGTTTGGCACACTTATACCAAGCAAAGCAGAAACTGAGTATCAGCACTGCCACTTCTAGAAATTAATTGCTCTGTTCTCAGTCCTCCTGAAGAAGTGGTAACATGCTGAGAACTAGTCTGCACATAAAGAGCAGTTGTGTGAAGCACCATTCAATTCTCTGTTTCACATCAGACATTAAAGCTGAACTTACCATCAGGGTCTTTAAAAGTCAGTGTGATAAACTTGCTAGCAACCATGAACATGAATATCACCCAAAAGCATGCAGCTAGCAGCAGCCACTGGTGGTGCATGTTGTCAGACGTGAGCCATATAAAGCTGTTGCTTCCTGTTTGAAAGAGGAAAGATTGACACAATTATTTTTGTTCCTGTTCAGAAAAATACTTTCCACAACCAAAATGGCAAAACTCTAATATGTATGAGTCCACATATACATGTATCTGCAGTAGTAGATTTCACTTCTTGCTTTTTGTCCTTTCAGATGGGTTTTTAACCAATGTTAATGCTGAGGCAATGTAACCATGGGCTGCTATCCACGGGAGGCTTTACTCCTCCTTCCTCCCCATGTCCTTGTCCCCTTCTTGTACAGGCAACAGCACTGACTACTTCAGGAGAAAGATCAGCAACACTTCCATTTTTTTTTTAACTATAGATTATTTTTCGATTTAACTTCGCAAGATGGCTCACTGTAGGAAAGGAAGGGAGAATGGAGAAAGCTCCCCTCTCGGTGGTAGCTAGTCAGCAGATCAACCAAGCTGTAACATGAACAGTATTCTCAGGGATAACTAAGTCAGCGTATGACATGTAACACAGACTCCTGGTCTGCTCAGCCTGCACAAATTACAGGCTGGGAGCTACCAAGTGAGAACACTACGCTAAACCTGACAAAATGTTTCAATATATTAAAGTCTCTTTTTATCTTGTCACTTTTACAGCCTGTAAAGTACCAACCATAAGTTTTGGAAGACTTTTTTTATTTTCATGATTCTAAGCCCTAACCACATCGACAGTAAAAGGGTTTTCTTGCAGCACGCTTTCTACACAGACACGTGAATGAATTGCCAGGGAGTAAAAGAGATGCCCTCATTCCCAGCTAAGATTTTAAAATCATGCTAGGCAAATTTTGTATTAAGTGTTTCAGTCATGTTCCAATATTCCACCTTCTTCATTCCCTCAAAGGTTAAATAACAGAAGTGAGCCTGGTTTTGACGTTTCTGTATGTCCACCTGCAACATCAGTATTACTGCTATAGGTGCTGATCGCTTTTCCAACTCGCTTTTGCCTTCCAGCAAAGCAATGTTTCCAGGAAGGGTTCTCACTGTAGCTGACAAAAGTGAAACGTCTTCAGGGTATGCTGAAAGCCTGTGCAGGCAGATGAGTAGTTCACAACAGATTTGGGACCCTAAGGATGTATGCCAAATGGGTGAGAGGAGGAAAGAACAGATAATCTCCAATTAAGAAAGCAGAATTCATAATTTTTAGCTTGGATGGCAGCGCTCAGGCCTATTTTTATTTTCTCAGCACAATATGTTTTAGTGTAGCTTTGGGGAGTTCCTTTTTTCTTTTATGATTTCCCTTTTAAGTACCTCTCCTAAAAACCTTGTGCTTAGGTAAAAAGATGCATCCATTGCCTTTTGGACAATTGCAGGTGCTATGATCTTCATGAAGACAACGTCTGTCATCTCCCATCTTCTGCTGCAATTCTCTAGCTCCCAACTGAGCACACAGTGTCTGATCCACATTATTCTTCAACATCAAAAACTGTTGGCCAGGAAGGGTAAATAATAAGTCAGGAATTCTAGAGCACTGACCTCTTTCCAACTAAGTAGTTCAAAAGTTTTCCTCATCCCACCATTGCACTAGCACAAAACTTGTCCTGAGATTCATGCTGAAAATCACGAGCTCTCAAAGGCCCTCATTTCTCAATCTGCCACAACATCCACTGTCTCCCATTTAGTGGACTGAAATTTATGCTTTCAGATATTTTTAAAATTTCCCTACTCTCACAAACGAGAGAAATGCAAAATAGAGGTCAGGACACAAAACACAGCAATGACATTTTTACATTTTGGGTAGCGCTGCTAAAAACATGAGAACCCTTCAATGTTCAAAATGTAATTTAAGCTGTCTTCAGGACAGCAGACTGATAGAAGCTTGCAGAGAACATTCTGCAGGAGGAAAAACTCTTTGTAACCATCAGCCGCAGGCTTTTCAGAGATGTGACAAATGGCCTGGACCAAACCTTTGCTCTACACAGAGGATGGTTGAAATGGCCTCCAACATTCGCAGCATCCCTGCCAGCAGGCCCGCATTTATAATGGTGACGAATGCATACCATTCAGTCAGGTTTACTGATCTATATCCCCTTATGTAATTTATGTAATTTATGTATTGGATTTGTAAGAAGTTGTGCCAACTGACATCGGAAAAGCAGTTTCCATGTGCTCTGACCTGAAAAGCAGCTAGCACACACAGGGCCCTGCTGCTCGACACTGTGCTCTAGGGACAGGAGAACAACATTTCTTGTGAAGACATCTCCGAGCAGTATACTACTTACCCTCAAGGACTGGAGAGACCAGAAAAGGGACAGAATTGCAGTCAAATCCACAAGAAGCACCACTACTACCCTTTAGCACACCAAAGCAGAAACTATTAAGCAGTTTTGCCTACTTTTTTATGCACACAGCAAATCTGCAACCACGCTCATTGATGCAAGAGCCTTGTCAGAGGATCTGTCAGAATGTAATTACAATGGCTGGCACTGTTACACACAGAATCACAGAATGTCAGGCGTTGGAAGGGACCTCAAAAGCTCATCTAGTCCAACCCCCTGCCAGAGCAGGATCACCTACAGTAGCTCACACCGTTATTTTTAGCATCCTAAACAAAACTACATCCACATCAGCAGCTTACTACCTAATTCAAGGAGCAGGACTGTTCAAAATTATATACAGGAGTAACTCAATCATTATGCTCATTTAAATGCAAAAACCAGCAACATTTTTAAAATAACGGGGTTTTTTTGTTTCACTTTCTCTAGCTGCTTCTCTAATAGTTTTATCATTTTCACACAGGGTAATTATACTTCCTGTCATATCTCTGATCTTACTGCATTTGTTACCTCTGTTACTTATTTTCTATTGAATACATGTACTAGCTTCTGTTTTTTTCTTTAACAGTTTCTTTCGGCTTCCACATATGTCTTTTACTTCCTTTTGACTAAAACATTTTTCCCTTACATGTAGAAAAACCAAGAAAGCCGTTGAAAGTTTAGACTGTCTCCGCATAATGAAATATGCAGGAATTTTCCAGGTTACTCCTATATATTATTGCAATTCTACACTTTTTAGGAGTGCAAGATCCCCCAAACCCCTTTCTCCATCTATTCCTCTGTCCTTTCCTCCCGGGGCTACTTACCCCTAGGACAAATGGTCACATAACCCTCAGATCAGCCAGATGCTAGTTTTGCATGAGGGGAAAAGAAGAGAAAACAAAAGAATCGTACAATTTATTTTTTCCTCATGCAAAACATGAACCAAAGATCGGGACACAAAGCGCAGCAGGCTTGGCCCGTGGTCTGCAAGTAACCTGTTACGTGGAAAAAACGCCACACTCGTACTCTGCAGACGACCGCTGTCTTCACATGACTGACAGAAGATTTAAACAACATTAAAACTCAGTGCACGGCCTCATGGTGCTGGGATAGGGGCTCCTTGGCAGGACAGGCCCCCCACAGACGGTGAATGACAGCGGCACGCCAGCCAGCTCGGCAGTAGCCTCCAAGACCAACTGCTGGCCCACCGGCACATGACTACTGATGTAATTTGAAACGGGACTGGTAACGAAGGCCAAACCAACCGCTAGCAGGGACACCTAATCCATTTTCATCAAGGCCTCCTTTGTGCAATCTTAAAACAATCTGGCCGATTTATTACACTTCTGAAGAGAAAACTGGGACCGAAATCTACCACGCACCGCTCCGGTAAGTTGCGCGGTGCTACTAAACGTTACAATATCCGTTCTAACCAGCATTTCCCAAAGCCGGTTCTTCCTTGAGGCTTCCCCTCTGCCCTGACAGCAGGTTCAGGCCCATCGGCCCCGCTCTCCCACCCATCACTGGATGCTCCCCGAGGACTCACAACTCACCTGCCAGCGAGAAGAAAACCCAACTACTGGAGCAGCAGCTTCGTAACCCGCCTCGGCCCCGGGGCA